TTGATTCGACATCATGCTCCCACGTGCTGCCGCGTGCGCGCGCGCGGGTTCTCGAGGAAGCAGCTTGACGTAATCGAAAAGTTTCACCTGCTGAAAATCGCGGTCTGTCCGGGCGATTTAATAAACCGGCCTGCGCGCGCGCGCCTCACCTTTATTATAATTTCTTCCTTGACGGAGCGTCGAAAATCTGCGTCCCGTGTCGTAATCGCGCCGGTTGCGAAAGATCGAGTTATCGTTCGCGCCGTTGCAATAAATCCAAATGCAAGAATTCCATTGTAATCGAAGGCGCATTCGTGACGTTAAGTAATATCATCGCGACGTGCGATTCACGACGGCGCGCCGGCAGTGCACAGTAGGGTCAAATGGAATTTCATGTTTCAAAAGAGATTGCAGTCTTGGAATTTGAATCGATTTCGATAAGTATTTTTTCAGTGAAAGCTAATGAAATTCGAAACAACTTTGTCGAGCCAGATTTTTGCCTGTTGTTTCCCTTCTTCTAAATCAGAGATATATACAGGGTAGTCCACTTAAATCGAACACTGAATATTTCATTTATTTTTGATGATACGGAAAAATGTTTCAGATGAAAATGAAAGGGTGTCGAGGGGGACACATTTTGGTCATATTGCTTTTTTCTAAGTGGAAGCGCTAAAAAGATATGAAGGTCATCTTCACTTTTTTAAATGGAATTGATTTTTTTTTATAAATATGATTCCTCTATTTATTTTATGTATAAAAATACTAAGAAGTAACATTGTCGAAAAATCAATAGTTTACGAGATATTTTATACTTTATTCTGACAAAAAATTTAGTCAAGATGTTCAACATGATATCCTCCGATTTCGATATATTTTTGAATACGATACATAAATGATATTCTTACATTTTCTATTCTTTCTGAATTTATACTCGCACGTGTTTCCAAAATACGTTTTTTCATATTCTCTTGTGTACATATTTGAAAACAATATTTTTCAACGTTTCCCAAACAAAAAAATCGATGGGATTTAAATATATTGAAGGCGGAGGACATTATTTTGAACATCTCCTTGACTAAATTTTTTATCAGAATGAGGTAAAAAAAATATCTTGTAAACTATTGATTTTTCGACAATTATACTTCTTAGTATTTTTATACATAAAATAAATAGAGAAATTATATTTATAAAAAAATCATAATTCCATTTAAAAAAGTGAAGATGTCCCTCATATCTTTTTAGCGCCTTCACCTAGAAAAAAAACAACGTGACTAAAATGTATCCCCCTCGACACCCTTCTATTTTCATCTGAATCATTTTTCCGTATCATCAAAAATAAGTGAAATATTTAAGGTGTTCTATTTAAATGGACCATCCTGTATATATAAAGAAGTTAGATTTATATAGAAACTTTTCTCGATCAAATAATTACGATAGATACGGAAAAATCTGTTATATATTGAATAATAATTAATAAAAAAAAATTGATGACATGACAATAATAATTTTGTTTTATTTAATTCAGTATTTTTACTAAAATCAGATTCTGTTCCAATTAATTTCATTTGTTAAGTTAAGATTCAGCGAACCAGGTTAGTTTGTATAGCTTTTTTCAAATCTGGAAAATATTTCTAAATCTAACTTCTTTATGTCTGATTTACAAGAAGAGAAGCAAAAGACGAGAATCTGAGTTAACACAGTTGTTCCAAATTTCATGAGCTTCCATTCAAAAAGAAAAAAGGATCGAAAGCAGTAGAAATCTCGAAGCTCTAGCCTTTTTTGTGATATGAAATCGACCTCACTGTGCGGCGGCGGATCGCCCTGACATGAAAATATACAATTGAATCTGAAAATCACGGATCGCCCCGATTGCGCAACACTGAGCGACTAGACACAGCGTCACGTAAAAGATGATGTGCCCGCACCGGTATACGCAGCGTTACCGCAAAATCACAAAAGTTTCGCGGCGGATTGTTTCACGGCAGGTCGACTGCAGCGCGGGGCGCCGAGCACACGAGTTATCCTATCTCTACGACGGGATGCGGAACGCGCAGCCTTGGCGAGGGTGGACGTTTTGCGCTGCACCGTTGCACAGGCACAAAACGAGGCTGGCCGTTCTCGCGGCTCGCGAATCAGATCGATCGCGGACGTGTAATTTGCAGCGGCACGGAGGTTCCGTCATTCGGTAGTAACTCCGCTGCCGTCGCCGTCCGCGATCCGCTACACGGACTTCCAGATGGTGAAAGTCCGCGGGATCCTACACGCTCTTACCCTGCGCTAGATGCAAAATCATCATCTTATGCGCGCGCGCATTGTGTTCTTTACGTGGGATTAAATTAAACTCCGTGCCTCGACGTTTCTGTCCCGTGCCGTCGTTTCCTCGTTTGGACGAAAACGCGGTCGCGGAGCGCGGCTCGGATCGACGCCACTGCGGGATTCTAATGATCGCCTCGTGCATTATCCCACGATACATTGTTCCACCCACATCGGCCGGTCATTGTTGATCGGCGAAATTTAATCAATGGTCCAGTCGATTCCACGATACAATTTCTTTTGGCAACAAGATAGACACCTCTTATGCTACGAAGACAGTTATTGGTTAAGCTACGCGGAAAAAAGAAAAGATTTCCTTATCGCAGCTAATCATCGTTTGCTAAAGTTGTATTTGTTGCTCTAACGAAAAATTTGCTGCTGTAAACTAAAATTTTCGCTACTGTTGCCACTACATCGGTTTCACAGTTAAATATAAGCTTACTGGCAGTTATACCTTTAAGTAGAGTTTCTCTAGTTTCCGAATTAGGGCAAAGCATGATGATTTCTGATTGATCCGCATTTTATACGTTGTTTTTAGGGATGACATGAGTGGGAGTGAGAGAGAAACTCTAGTGGAAATCAGTTCTAAGACTAAAATACTGCAGCTTAACTCTGACTTGAAGAACTATATTTCTAGTATCTATATGTTACAGCGAGATTTAGCTACTATACATAGATTTTTGCTGCCGCAGCTAATTCTTTTTTTCCACGTATGAAACGCCACGGATGCAATAAATCAACACTATCACGAAGGCTCAGGATTCTTCCTGACTAGAAATTTATCCCATGGTCCTGATCAAGATCCAACCGATTTGATGTTATCGTGTCCTAATTACAAATAAGGAACTAATTATTAATAATCTTTATTATCAATAAAGTCTTGATTGCCACGCTGTATTATACATGACTTATCAGGACTTGATAATATCACCTTATACAAACCAGATGATTGATTGGATTCAACCTGATCAGGATGATGGGATAAATTTCTAGTTGGGTTTTGGGTCTCTGTGTGTATCCAATCGTCGTTCGCAATAGGAAAGCACCGTAACACTTTTCGTCTATCCGGGGAATGATTGCACGATCGTTCGTGCAGGAACTGCAATAAATCAACGCGGCTCGTGCCGATCGATTCCGGCACTCCGTACTAATTTCATGATTTAGCCGGACGAGGAGGGCAGAATACAGGATCGGGGAAAATCCCGAAGGGCGGTTCGTTTATGAGCATTGTCTGGGGCTCTCGATCCTATCACGGCTCATTCTGCGAAGCGAAACTACGACGGGGATTCTGCGAAGCGCCCGGGGTTGGCAGCGGTCGTTTCGCCCCGAGTTACGACGAGGGTGAGACGCCATACGGCCCCCATGGAGATAAACACTTAGCGACCGCGCCATATTTTAGGGGATAACTCGCGCGAGCCTTCTGCCTGCGCGACGTGAAACAGCTTTCTTTATTGGTAATGCGGAATACATGTGAGGAGTGTGCAAATGATAGTTATCGCCGCAGTTATACGATTCTACGAGCGCAATATTTTTCTGCAGTATATAAACCTTACTGGTCTGCGAGAGAGCGAAGCGTATAGGGACATTTTTAAGAATAAGTGAATGAAAATTAAGCAGTACAAATCTGTCGAATCGGAAGCTCAGGTACAAATTAATTATCTCATCTTCACTCTTGGTATACCATCAGGATCCGTTGGAACCCGATTTTGATATTTGAATTTCCTTTTTGAACTATTTACAAAGATTGATACATCCTGAATTTATTTCTTCTTTAGAGTTCTTCTAAAGAAGGAATGACAAATTTACTTTTTGTCTTAATAAAGAATAAAACTTACTAAAGTAAAACATAGAAATTTATAAAATGCAGCATTCTATCTCATGTATGCAATTGTCATGTATGGGATACGGAGCGTTTATTTTAAGGTAGTCGACCGTAGGCAACTGTATTTCGGTAAATTTTCCTCCTGAAAAAAATCTTCTGTATTTGTAACTACAATTACGTAGAAAAATAATTGCTATAAATTATAGCCGAGAAAATCTTTTTTTTTTAATTAAATTCTACTATAACGTTACTGATAATAATTTTTACTACAAAGAAAATTTGCTAGAAAAAATATGATTGGGGTAAAAAATAACTATAATTTTAATTTGAACTTTTTCTCTCAGTGTAGGGATTGACAGTGTATAATTGTTGCGGAATAAATTTTGCTATGTTGCGAAAACGTACATTGAAAGAAAAATGTATGATATTTGGAACTATAATGGCATAGTAAAAAGATTATAGTTAGGAATATAATTTTTATAGTAAATGTTATCATAATATTTGTAATATTTACAATATGAGCATAGTATAACTGACCCGTGTAAAATTTTTACCAAGAACTATAATTATTTGAAATAAAAACTATAGTAAGGTAGCAAATATTGAATGGTAAGAGAAATTAACTATTTTATATAGTCAATACAATTGGAATATTTGGCAAATATAGGTACATGTAACTATATTCCCAAAAGATGCTTTACCATATATATAGAGTAATAAGATGGTGACTATAAATCTGTGTTCATTCTATAACTTCATGTTTAGATGAACTATAAATATATGTTTGAGGCCAAAACGAACTGTAAAATATAGTGAGATTATAGTTATTCCAACTATTTTTTTCTCTTAGTGTAGATGGTAATGATTATTTTCTCGCTTGTTGCAGAGCTTCTTGGAAGCGAATTCCAAGTGCTGGTGGAACGCAGCTCTGGTGGACGCGACTCGGCAGCTCAGGTACAAGGGCCACGTGTCACCGGGCGTGCTGATGGTTAGCGGACCGCCCTGCGCCCTCGAGGTCTTGAGGGCGGCATGGGCGCGAAACGTTTTACGACCACCCGCGGACCACTCGATCACCTGTCTCGGTATGTACCATCGAATTAACTCTTTCGCTGCCCGAGGGTCGATTTAGCTCGACAACCTCAGTCGGCGATTGCATATGCCCGCGCCACCGGCCAGAATTCAAGTCGCTTTACTCAAACGGATTCCGTCGAGTTGCGCGTAAGATAATCGAAGAGTTTAATTAAAGATAAAGCGATCGTGAAAGTGAAAGTGAAAGCGCCGACATTTTATAAGAGCGGGTTCTTACGAGAGAGAGAGGAGAGAGATAATCCTGCGTGACCCTGGTTCCGCGCTGCGCTCGAATTCCGATGCCAATGGGACACTTTATGCGCGAAAATGACATACGAGCTACATTTCGGTCGTCTCTCTCTCTCTTTTTCTCTTGCACACGCGCTATCTTTCTCTCCTTATCGTCGCGGCGCCGTTGAGATGCTCGTTTTTGTCTATCGCCGAGGTGCCGAGGCGCGCGCGAACATTGAAGTAACCTGTTTCGGTCGAGACAAGCTCGAGCATACCCGGCGATATTTAATTATAGTAGCTCTTGTTCTTTATTCGCGAGCGAAACCGCGAATTATCACCAGACATCGATATTAACCCACGCGATTTATTTTTTTTTATGCAGCGAGATACACGATATAAAATGAATTCGATTATTTCTCGCAGAGAAGTCGCAGCTCACATTGTGTCGGATCTCGGAGATCGACTTGAAAACTGCCACGCGATAAAACCGGCTTTCAGAAGCCGACAACGACGGTTTGCAGACAAAACGACCGGATAACGGAAAGTGTCTGACCTATGCGCGTTATTCTCCTTATCCGCTCATCTCTCGTAACTCACGCCTGTCGTCGCGTGTGCGAAATAGCTTCGCGCGTTCGTCTCGCGCGGCTTATCGGGTAGCTCGTGCATTCGCATGCAGCCCGTACGCACCCTTGCGCAACCCCGTTTCCTTATAACGCGCTCCGTTCCACCCCCGTCTCGTCCTTATAGCTGCCTTTTCGGTCGGTCGGTGTCCCCGCCGTCTGCTTCCACCTCCGCCGTTTCTTTCCGATCTTATTGCTCCCTTTATGCCCCTCGCGCTCGTATCTATATACGCCTACGCTCGACTATCTCGCATACCGGGCTTATGCTAATGCACGCGCGTATTCGCGCGCGGATACGCAACGGCGTAGGAGCCCGTCTCGTTATTACGGCTGGCTCGTAATAGCGAAAACGCTCTCTCGAAAACGAAAGAAATTTACTTGCGCGATAAAGAAACCTCGCGCGATTCTATCCGGATGGGAAAGCAACCGGCGCGAAAAATCATGCCGCGAATAAAAGTCGCTGTTTCACGCCGACTCGTCACTCTCTTCAGAGGTAGCAAGAGAGAAAGAGACAGAGTGTATCAGCCAAAAAAGAATATTGTGTTATCCTTAGCGGAATTCTTTGAACCCTACAGGATTCTACTCTAATATATGGTTTCAATAGAAAGAGGATTTTCCTAAAACCAAAAGAAACATACACTAAACACAATATTCTTAAAATTAGAAGGATGTCGTTATTTATCCACAATACAAGTCTTGTTCTTAATAGAAATTTCGTCTAGTAAGAAAGCACTCTGCTTCAAGTAAACATGTTTTTCTTGATTAGAAAGGAAGAAAGTATAATATCAAGTAGATTTCCGACTAATAATCTACTTCATTAGAATTCTCTAAATTTCTTCAAGTGAAATTTCACTTAAAAGAGAGTAATCATTTCACCGAATCATTCTCGAATTCGAGTGGTCTTTCACTCATATGGAGTGAATCTCCACTCTAAATCACAGAATGTTTTCATTCGAAATAGAAGAATAAATTTGATATACACTAGGTTTCAACACTTCTTTTTCGATGCAGTTTAAAACGCAGCCATTAGTCCAATGAGAGACTTTGTCTTATTAATTCTCCTTGTTTTATTAATTCTCAGAAGATAAGTTCTCTCATTAACAGCATTTTAAATTGCATTGAGAAAAGGGTGTTCAAAACAGTTTTGAATCCCAATGTAGTTCACCATCATAAAGACATTTCACTCTAATCGATTCACTTATATGGAGTTAATAGAATCTATTCTAACTCTTTATTTGGCAGGCTTAAAGAAATTTTAGGAAAAAATTTTTTGGGCAGTTAAATGAGGTAAATATGTCTTCTCTCAATACAGTCATATATTTTAAAGATATTTTTTTAATTTATAATGAATCTGTATCATCATAGTGTGACAAGAATCGAAACTGCTGAGCTCCGGCGAATAGAACAAGTAACCAGACTCCAAAGCAACACGAGCTAAATGAATGCGCCGAGATCTTTCGTTCTTGCATATATTTTCGTTCTCATGAGAAATTGATGTTACTTGACAGCAAGATTGCCAAATAAAGGGCCAAACTCGAGCGAAACATTCATTCTCGCGATTTCAAGCGGCAATATTTCCAGTATCATTTCGAATGGAAATACTGCGACTTTTTTCGCTCGTTTCCAGTGAGATTGCACTCCAAGAAATTTGGAAAGCAGAGGAATACTCTTTCGATAAAAGTTTTCGCTTAGAACATGGCATTACAGGAAACAGCACCTTGCAACTAAGGTTCTTTGTTTGAGTAATAGCCACAGGAGATATATCGTTGAGATATATCATTAATGATGAATAGATCTATCGTGTTGCTTGCTCATGATAGCTTCGTACATATACGTAACCATATCTACCTACCTATCTATTGTGTTAGAGATGAAATCGGCGGCGCGCAAACGCAAAGCGTACGAAATAACGCTGGGATGTTAATTCACGGTGCAATTGGATAACAATTGTCGCTGATGTCGCGGACGCGGTTAATTCACGCGGCGGAGATTATAAAGAGCGTTCTTGCTAAACGGCCGACTACTACCCCGCCGCTACCGACGACAACGACAACGTGGCGATGCAGTCGGCGAGAGCTTTCCGGTTTCGCGCGAATGCCCCCGTGCAAAACGAGCTTGGTTAACATTCCGCTATTTGCCGATCGCTCCTCCTCGCCTGACCGGGCTCGGCGCACCAGTGCGCATAATACGCGCGTCTTATATGCGTCTCTATGCGCGTGCAGTAATGCAGGCATTTCGCGCTGCCGCATAATTGGTCTGTCGTCGTCTACCTCGCGGAGATGGCCGCTTGGCTTATTCGACCTCTTTATTTCTCACGTTGTTTCCGTGCGCGCAACGCGACGACGACGAGGCGACTCCGCGAATATCGCGACGTGTTGCATGATTTTCCACAGTTAGTGTGGCGTGCCGCGCGCGACTTTCCTGAAAACGCGCGACGTCGACGTGGCGCAACGTGACTGCGTTCAATGCGCGAGGCGGGATGCGTATTGCGCGACGACTCATTAACAAGAAAATCACGCACGCCCTGTCGTCTTTTTAATTTGCACGGCGTTTCGCGGAGATGTATGTGCGTGTATGCGTATGTGTGCGTCGCGGACTCGAGATAAGTCGTACGTACACGCAGCCTGGGTGGGTGACACGAAACCTCGCGTTTTGAAGCGTTTATTACTCGAAATTGCAGTTTGCAGTAGGCTCGCTTGTTCCCTTCATGGATTTACTCGAATCGAAATTTTCATGTTACTTGACCTCAATATTCTATTTGACGCGTATTTTTATACTCTGAAGCCTACATCAACCTCTTTGATTCTACTTAACCTACTAACTTTGTCGAAAGTTTCTCTTTAGAATCTACCTACAAGTGGCATTTTATGCGTTTCTGTCATTTTGAAGCGTTAAATAGGACTTCCATGTATATTAAATATATGAGAGACTGGGTCTAAATAGCCTCAGGAGTATGTTACTCATGTGTTTCTTTTAATAGTTATCTTGAGAGGAACAGTAGATACAAAAAATCGTAAAATGATTCTGTTAGATATAAATGATACACTGTAAAAAATCTTGCGGTACTCCATACGGTACACAGTACGTAAACAAATGTTCCAAAAAGTCTACTCTAAATTTTGTGTCGAAAATAATTTATTCATATGTTCATTCGTGTGTTTGTTTACATTACGTACGGATTAGTAATATAAATAACATAATATAAATAACATAATATAAATAACATACGAATGAACGTATGAATGAGTTATTTTCAACAAAATTTAGAGTGGACTTTTTAGAACATTTGTTTACGTGCTGTGTACGCAAGATTTTTTACAGTGTAGATATTTTCCTCTAAGTTTCATTAAAATCGGAATTACAATATTACAGTAAAAAAAAGTAGAAAATAACTGATTCAGTAGTAGCAAAGTAAATTTTCAAATTTCTCCAAGTTTGCTATCAATATTTTTTACGATGAGTGAATAAAGTTAAACGACATGTTCCCAGTTAGAAGTTTTTTGTAAGTGTATAATATACTGTTTCGGATAATAAGAGCAATTTTCATTCATAAAATGATTAAAATCGAGCATATGAGCAGATGAGGTAAAGTTGGCTCATAATTAAAGGCCAGCAGGAGAACTGTGGAGACTTCTTGCAAAGATCCCAGAACTATTAACCAGTCACATTTATATATAACTTTACCTTGCGCTACTGGGTAACCGAACTCGATATCGGACGCAAGATGGCCACGCTGCCGTGAATTTGTATTTTGGTTATTGCAAAACAAAATATACGTTAACAGGATCGTGTGATGGATATGTGAGGCGTAGAAAAAGGCTGCCTCTATCATATTTGTAAAAACAGTCGCAACAATTAGTTGTCTGAGAAGTTGTAAGTTCCAAATTCTGAGACATACGGTACTCTGCTTCGCTCTCACCTACACTGATTCTTCAGAATATACAGATGTTAGAAAGGTCAGGTAAAAAATGGAGCTAAAATTTCGACTCGGGTTATCACGAGCGAGACGAATAAAGGAGCACGACTTAGAATCGCGTGACCGCGAAGATTTTCTCGCAATATGGTCGGCAAGGGCTCCAGCTACTTATACGAAAAAATGACTGGTGCAACGCGCTCTCCACATAGGAACGACCCGGTACGCGAGTCGCATGCCGGAATTCTGCGTCTTCGCGCCGATGGGCGCAGCGAAAGGGACGCCAACGGCGCGCGTCTGGAATGTCGACCTTCCCTCTCGTCTCCGTCCCTAACTGAAATCCATACGGTGCACGCTCGCGGAGTAATAAATCGGCCTACAGTGTACGACAGTAGCGGCATTCCAGGTCGATCGATTAAGTCGGCTACCCCGATGGAGACGCGTGCCCGACAGCGGCGGTTTTCTCGCCCTCTCTCGTCCTGCCCCCGCGCAATTTTCATTTCTCCCTCTGTATGACGTACCGATTTCTTTTCTGGTGTCGCAACTCGCCTTTCTTTTGTCGCGGCGAAAATCAGTGCGGCTTACAATTATGCATGCATCATTGAGGGGAACACTCTGTGAGTGTTGGAATTTAGCACTCACCGTATCGCGTCGAAGTCCACCGACATCTCGCTAACAGCATCGCTCTGAGTCCAGGACATCCAACGTTCAGCACCTGTGCGTCCTTCTGCGTCGTCCATGTCGCACTTGCATTGTAACATTCAATGACGTAATACATTTTAATGATTTTAACGATGTTAAACGTAACTGGAATCTATATAAATTTATATGATGAAGGTCTATTACAATGCGATAAAAATCTCTGGTAGCTGGGGAAGCACATTCGCGATCCGCGTGAAAAATCGCGAATGAAGAACTGCGCGGTGTCTTTGACAAAATCGCCGGCAGTGAAGAAAATATCCCGTCTCGCGTATTTGAGTTTTTCACATAAATGACGAATATATCCAACTTTCAGTGGTAATTTTATCCGATTATTTAATCATGACACGCGTAGTAATGTGTACGAATAAACGAGATCAACGGTTAAAAATTGCAATAATCGTGAAATTTATTAATACCTACGCGAGCGAATGGCTCGAACGGAATGCAGGAGATAGGAATAGTTCTGAGATATCGTATTCGTATGAAAACGTTCACTATGTGCCAATAAAAAATATTAATTATAATACTTAATTAATTTGTTCATTTTTTATTAACAGATGTTATGTATCGTGAGAATATATTACAACGACCCGCGACGTAGACCGAACTACTCACTTTCGCGTCAGCGACTGTTATGACGTGAAGTACACATGAGCCTACGTGTATTGTTGGGCTGAATGTTTTGAAGCTTTTTGCACGTCTTTATCTCGTCGGGCCGTTTAATGAGTTATCGAATGGTTTAACGTACGTGTTGTTACGTTTAATATAATATATACAAAATAAAATATAGTATATAAAATACACTATATTGCACTATGTGATTATTTAATATCCGTTCTCCGATAACGATTATCGCATCTCGGTGCGATAATCTACTGCACACATGCTGTACAATTGCGAATTCTATTGAAACCTTTGATAATTTTATAATGCAACTCAGCGTATACCTTGACATGTTTGAAAACTTATGAATTTCAAACATATCGATTAAAATAATTAACTGCATCATGAAAGTATCTTCAATCGCGATTATTTAATTCGCCGCAAGTTGTAGTAATACAAACAATTATGATTTAATAATTACGAGAGAGAGTTATTGTTATGTTTGTTATTAAATTGTGATTATTTCGTACAATTTATAAGGATCTGTAACGGGCCAAATAATCGGGACAAAATAATTTTATCGCCGAACTCGTTCTCGCAACGCTGCGAACGGGAATTGCGCAATAAACTGCGAAAGCAGTTATTCATTTATTATTATTATTATTATAGTTTGTGTGCACAAAGTGTGCACTGGTGAAATGTCGACGTTTACCTGTTTCTGACATCTGACGCATTTGCTTGGCTAAAATGCGAGTCGCGTACGCTAATGCGGGCCAAGTCAATGTATCAAGCAGATAAGGAGCACGAACGGAACGAACGGGGGATTCGTGCGACGTGCCGGAACGAACGGGGCTGGGAAATTAATAGCGCCGTATCGACACATGCAGTTATTTCTACTTCGAGTCTACTATAAATAGGCACGTTCGCACGCGGAGTGCGCGGTAACGCGGAATGCGCCGCTCGTACATACGTACGTGTCGACTTGATCGTGGCGATTGCGATTCAGCATTTTTGCGCCAGCAAGTGAGAGAGAAAGAGGACGAAAGGGAGAGATAGAGGGAGAGATAGAGGGAGAGATAGAGGGAGAGAGAGAGAGAGAGAGAAAGAGAGAGAGAGAGAGAGAGAGAGAGAGAGAGAGGGAATACGCGCCGTGCCTCATTCATTATATGTATTGACTGGCTGCAGACGTTGTTAAGACGCGCGAAGGATTCACGTTAGCGCTGCTCATACCTCGACGAAGTATGCAGTCGCATTTTATGATGATGAGCGAACGACGACCTGCGACGACGTGCTTCACCGACGTGTAATCGCGACTCCACGTACTCCTCTGTTCGCACGTATTCTATTTTATAGTCAACAATACCGCGAAAACGTGTTCTCCCGGAGGATTTGTCCGCGATTTCGAGCCTTAAGTATTAGGCGGTCGAACGTATGAAACGTGATATAAAATTGAATTTGAAATATAGAATTGAATGTGGAATAACGTGACGCTAGGATGAGACAACTATGTATACGGAGAGAATTTTATAATGAAATTTATTATAGAATTTTTTGTAATCAGGAAATAGATCGATATTCTACACTAATTCACACTATCCTTTCACTTTATACATACTATTTTTATTTTAAGAACTAAAATGTGCTATTAAAAAATTTTTTAACGAAATTTACTATCATACTATTATAAATATTGTTATTATACTATACACAGAAAAAGAAGTTTAGCTGTATTAATATGAAGTTTGTGGTTATAATAAATAAACCAACGCGTTTTAGCTGAAAGAAAAATGAAGTTTCTAGTTCTCAAAGCAAAACGTGTTGGTTCACTCATTAAAGCCAAACTTCACATTCATATAATCGAATTTTTTTTCTCCGTGTATTATACATATTACTATTTGTATCTCTTGGTAAAATGGATCTCATGGTAAAAATACTAATGTCTGAGAACATACCTAACGCGCTTAATCCTGGATATTCTTATTGCTCTCATCTTTTTTTAAATACGAATATATTTAAATTATCAGTATAAAATATATGTGTATATATTGAATATACACATACACACTATACCAAAACACAACGGTTAAAACAATAAGATTATCCAGAGCAAAGCACATGTCCGGGTATAAGTACTTTTATCTTATTTTTACTGACAGTCTATTCCCGTGCTACAAAAAACATAGTGAAGTAGAAAAGAATTTATATGAAAAAAGAAAAAAGCTATAATATTCTTTTCGTGCAGATATAAAGAAATGTCCCGTTACGCGTGAACAATCACGTCGACGAGGCGATAAAATTGAAGCAAAATATACTGCGACGACAACTCGAACGATTCAATGATTTCTGGAACACCTGTCAAATGCGCCATAGCCTCGGCATTTATCTCTCGTCACGGCTTAGACACGCGTACTTCTAGGAAGAGAAAATATCCACGGTATAGACGCTCGAATCTGTCCATCACGATTGGAACGCGCTTAAAGGACACGAGGGTGCGACTCGGCTCGTTACGGGCCTGACAGCAAGATTCCAGCGTCCCCTTAGCCGTTGCCGGCCGACCCGGTTCGATTGACATTTTCGCGCGACGGGTGCTTATCGATTACTACTTTCAGCTTGACTTTTCTCCATCGAATCATCTCCCTCTCTTTCTTAGCCGGCCGAACAGCGGGATGTAGGCAGACCGATATCGATTATCTCTCATTCAGCGATTCAGATGTGAGTCTCGCTGCTCACATTCCACCATTTCGTTCGCGTTAACCGGATCCTCGTGTCGAGCGAAGTGAGCTGAGATTCTGACAGTCGCATTTAGCGACTGCTAAATGCGAGCTGGGAACACGGTGTCGATGCCTCAACGCCCGCACGCTCTAAACACGTCTCTGCGCGAGTAATCGTAAGGTCGGTCAGCCTCTCACGCCACAGGGTCCTCCTCTCCCTGGCCCCCCTTGTCACGATTTTGCTATTCGCCCGATCGGAATAAGCTTTGACGTATGATTACCTTTCTCGCGTCAGCAAAAAAAGCCCCTTTTCACCATTTGATTAGCGGCGAGAGATTTGTACGCGAGCACCGCGCTGTTGCCCCGAACATATAATCAATACGTCAGTATCTGGCGAGTATTGCGAATTAAGGACAAGATCGAGGTGAGCGACCACGTCCTCTGAATTTCGCACCCTCTGTAATAACGCTGTCCGTGACTCCCGTGACTTCTCTTCGATATTTTTACCACGGTTTTTACGTCTACACGGAACATTCTTATTGCGCCGCTATCGCGGGAATCAAAGAGGAACCCTTCTGTTGGAAAAACTAGTGGAGATATTACGGTATCCCGAATATTGTCAAGAGTAAGAAGGAAGAGAACCACCTGACGAGCCACCTGACGTTAATTGAGCGTAAGGGCCGTGGAAGAGCTCACCTAGCCGAGCGTCAACCCTCTCTCTTTCTCTTTCTGCGTCTGAAGGGGAGAGTTTTAGCGGTTTCGAAAAAAGCTACGGTATACACGTGGAGCTCCCACGGTACTACGATTCGCTGCTCTGCGTGTGCAAACGTGAACGCGAGTGAAATGACAGAGCCGAGTAACGAGCTATCTGTCTATCCATCTACCGCAGCGCAAACGTTTGTAGGCCCATCGATGTATGCCACGGTATTTTCGAGTGGCAACTTCCTGTCGAGTGTCAGCTGGATCCTGGGCCGCCTCGTCGTAGATCGACGATTACCACGATGATGATGGTGGGGTCGGGACACGACATACTTCGCTATTACTCGCTCCTTCCTGCCGTTCTCGAGACGTTACTCGGACGTTTCTTCGGAGAGCCGTTCGATGCTCGCTTGACGCGCGTATTTCCATTCGTATTCATAATTCCTCAGCGGCTTCTTACGATTCGTAGGAGAAAGAGAGAGAAGAGAGATAGAGAGATAGAGAGAGAGAGAGGGGGAGGGGGAGAAACAGACGTACCACGACTTTCTTATTAGATAAATAACAACCTGTTGCGCGATTCCGCAAGAAAGTAGCGGGAGCCCCTCGAGCTTGCACCTGCAACGGCCGGAAGTGGCCGGAAATTCGCAATATTTTTCACCTCGACTCTTTCAGAAGCGTGCGGCTCGTGCTCGTGCTTTAAACGCTTCTCGACTCGTGTTTAACCCCACATCTACGATAATCACGCGTATAATTACTCCGCCGTATAATTACGTGAAAACTAACCGATTAATTTAACCTGCCTTTCTGTGTTCTCATGGCTGATATTTTCCACCGATTATCATTGCGGCGTTAGTAAACATCATAAAATACCGTCGTGCGCGCACGAGTGCGAACGCGGAACGTGCTGCGTTTTACGCGAAATAATGAGACGCGCTTACCACACCTGTAGTGCAATTCCTAACTCGTTATTGCGTTATGACGATAGTCTTGTTATCCTTACGCAGCTTTTCTACGATACGAAAAAGCTGCGCAACGATAACGAAACTATCGTTAACTACAATAACGAGTTATAGAATTGCACTACTGGGCTTTAGCGCGCTGGACATTAAGCTCGTTACGCAATCGGCCGGACTTTACGTGGCCACGCGCGATTAGTATAGATGCGAGAGCGAGGCGCCGTTTAACGCGATCGCGCAATTATACGGGGAATTTAAGAGCGGTAGCGCGAGAGCCAGAGTGAGAGAGAGAGAGAGAGAGAGAGAGAGAGAGAGAGAGAGAGAGAGAGAGAGA